GATCCGCAGGACGCGCCCTTTGCAATCACCGTCTCTACGGGACGGCTTAGGTCCATCGGGACCATCCGGGGGGGGAGATATCCGCTGCGCTCCTGGGGGCCCAGGCCCGCCCGCCGTATCGCCGCGACGCCAGCTCCGCCCTCTCTGTCATGTTGTTGATGTATGATGTTGTAACTATTCTTGGAAGGAGATTGTCAAGAAACTTAATTATTTCCAATAAATTACTGTTGCAGAGGATTCCATATTTGAACCATTGTTTTCAAGAGGCAAATTAAAACCCTTGCTTTAGTAAGAGTGATTCCCAAACAGAAATGTGTGGGGCTAAATTTAGAGATATGCATAAGATCACATACTACATTAGATAGCACATCAGATGAAAGAATGATGCTTTTTGAGTGGTAACTTCAGAAATTAATCAATACCACTATATGGATGTCATTCACATGACAATCCTTAAAGAACTAAAATTTGATCATTATTTGAAAAAAGATGTTTATGGTTGGTAGGGCAATTTCTTTCCCTATCACATTTACCTTTCAAACTAATGAAATTTACCAGACTTGGGTCATGCAAAACAAAACATGTTTTGGCAATGGATAGTAAAGTCATTCCTTGTGACATAATTGTCACTAGATGGGTTCTAAAGGATTAAGTACTTTCATGGAAGATGCACGTCTACAGGCATAAAGTTAAAGGTAAAACTGAATGTTGGGAAGCTATCAGTGGTTTATGAAAATAGTGTAGTATAAATTTTATATATTTTGAAAAACAGGACTATTCTGTAGAATTACATAGAACCCACCATTATTCAGAAAAGTAAGTAGAAGAATAATATTAAGATGCAACATGCGAGCTTTAATGAATCATCTGGGCAAAGGATTAGGCTATCTCATTATTGTGGACCTGCTCAGATACTGGGGAAATACAACAAAGGAGGACTGTTGCCTTCATGTCCTCTGATCTTTCTAGCTGCATCTAGCTGGCGTTGATGGATTCAAGATCCAAAAGAACTTTTAGGTTTCTTTGAGGGGGTTGTTCCAACAGTAAGGGCAAATAATATAGTCTTTGTCATGCTTGTGCAACTTACTCTCATTTTGTAATAATTGTTCTGTAGATATTGTGCAAAGCTCTGAAATGGCTTGAATGTGTATGAATATTCAAAGACATTGTTAATCCGGGGTTGGAGGGGTGGGGGCTGGAACTGAAGCATAGTATGTAGTCATACTATTCTGACATAAAAGTAAAATTTACTGGTAGATGATAATATCACCCTGACAGCTTTAAACTAGCCTCTCTGTGCAAAAAAGATATGTGTAATTCTGAAAATCTGTGTGTGGGAAGTTGAGAACATCACATATAATATGTATGATGGTGTGTGGTTTCCTCAGAAGAGGATCAGCTGTTGCTCTTTCATAATTGGAAAGTGTTCTGTGGCTTTTCTTAAAACACAGTTTAGCTTTTTGTCCTAGTCACTTGTCCAGATTCTTGAAATTAAGGCCAACTTTAATATTTAGAACAAATTATACTAGAAACTGAATATGCCTGTAAGCTCCCAGAACCAGTGGCTTAAGTGTGGGTTTGCTCTAGCAGAAAGGCTCCTATACTGATTACTTTGAAATAGTGAATATTTCCTGTAACAGGATTTTGCTGCTTGTGTGCTATCCTCTCTTACTCAGTGGCCATAAGGAACAGATCAGAGTAGTTTATCAGTATGTTCAAGTACAGCCATTATATCTGAAAAAAGATGTCTGATATTCAAGTAAACTTTTTAAAGAGGGAAATATGCATGAATGAGAAATACAGACCTGCTTTCTATCTTAGCATTTGAGTATATTGTACTAGTTGTATTCTTGGTAGTTCTCTTTCTATAGGAGTGGACTGATACCCTTAAGAATACAGAGACCACGCTGACTGAAAATGATGCGATTTGAAGCTACCTAGAAGACTCTGCATTGAGGAAATGTATAATAGGTTCCTTCCTAGCCCCTCATTCATGTGTGCCTGGAGTCTGCTGGATTCAGAAACTAAGCTCTTGTTTCCTGCTTGAATATAATGAGTACTAGCATTTTTTCAAAGCTATGTAATGTTCAGCATCTTTGCATGTAGTTAGTCAGCAGAACAAGGCATGGGACATTTTTTTTACATCTTTGCATACCTAACGTTTGTGCTCCCAAAGTGAAGAAAGCCTTAATTGCAGTACTACAAGAAAACTATTCTTGGGGGAATCAGCCAATCCTTAAAGTTTCAGTAGCATGCAACATATTGTTAAAATGTTTGGATCAATTTAGATAATAATTGAAACTGATAGTTAACATATGATCTGTTAAGTGGTATTTCCACTGTATCTTCAGGAAAAAACTTGAACTGATATGGCAAATAGTTTTAGGGTTTATTACCCCTATTAATTTTTAGAACATCTTTTCAGCAGCCTTTCACCATTTCACTAAGAAGACTAGACTGATTTAGTCTAGTCTTAGCTAATAGAATCTTTAAAGCATGGGCCTAGTTGTACTAAATATACAAATGCAGATATTATAATAAAGATTTTAATTTGGATACATGCACGTCTAAGCAAGGTGTCTAGAGGCATTTCTCCTGAAATGGGATTAATGTGGGTTCCCTTCCTCATTCCACTCTGATAATTTTAGAAAATGAGTGGCACTTTCATAACAATTTTGACATAGTTTGCTTTTGCAACAGTGGTCATTCTCTGGGTCCTAAATTGTTGACTTTACCACTTCGAGGGCACTATGGTATGTAGCAGTGAGGTTGTAAAACTCTAAGTATAACCTGCTGTATGCTGAGCATACAGATCTGATTTTAAAACATTTGGGGAGTCTGTTCATGGACATAGAAAGTAATGTGCAATACAATTTGCAGGTATGTATCCATCCATCCATGTGATAAAATAATGGCTAAAATGTTTGTTTCTCTCTTTGAGTCATCAGTAAAACAGACTGTAACAATTCAAGCTTGGACTGACTTGAGACACATCAGTCATAAAACTTTTGGAGGAAAGGTGGGATATAAATCTGTGACCATGTGTGTGAATCAGATTGCGTGCCTTTATGTCAAAAGAGTTCCCTCCTTTTGCACACTTTTACTGTGCACAGAATTTAGCCTTAGAGCAAAAGAGCAAAAATGCTTATTCAAGCATAATGTTGTGATTTAAAATGCATATGGAATTAATGCTTGCTTGTTGCAAGTTCTGTGCTCCATGGTAGAGTTAAAGCTGGTAGGCAGTGGATATGAATGGGAAACTCTGTTGTAGTGTTTGGGAAGAAGTTAAATCTGTTTCTGCTTCTGAATTGGCATATTTTCCTTTCTAAAAAAAAAAACTTATTCATTGAATATACTAATTCAACCCTTGCCCCCTCCCCCTACTTGAAGCAAATTAGGAAGAGTTGTTGTTCCAGCTATATGTAGCCATATAGCAGGATCTCTGTATCTAGCAAATGGTAACATTATGACAAGGGCACTTCTAACTTCTTTAAAAGCACAAAATACTTTAGGAATCTCTGCTGAAATTCGCACAGGTCATAATAGCTTATGGGTTGTGTTCACATATACTGGAATCTAGGATGTGGCATTCTCCATCATATTTCTTTCTTTTTGTTTAGGAAATGACAAAAGTGTGCCAAGATTCTTGATTAGAGAAGTGGAATTTAAGAAAAAGGATCTAGCTAGGCTCATGTTTTCGCCTGATCAAGAAAATCATCCGTCAAAAGCACCAGTGAAGTATGGTGAACTGATTGTGTTGGGGTAAGTATCTGGCACTGACATTGGAACCTCTAAAACAGCAGTTTTAGTTAATCCTGCAAACCAAAGTTGTTTTTCTGGTCTTCCTTTTTGCCTTGCAATGTGACTATCTGTAATGAATTCTGAAACATGGCACTTCCTTGCTGTGCAGTTTTTTTCTAGCATCCTGATTTCAAACTAAAACCATTCCAACATTAGCATCAGAGGAATAAGAGTTAGATCATATCCACATAGTCTTTTGAGTTAGATGTGATCCAGCCAAAGATTTCTGAACTCCATCAAATTTCACTAAGAAAACTTTGAATCCAGGTTTTGATTTTTTTCCCCCCCATTAAGGCTTAACTTTAGAATACTGTTTATACCATTTGTATATTACTAATACAATGGATTATGTCTAAGCTATTTGTCAGCAAGGGAGAGGATTTATTCTTAAAATAAAGGTAAAATAAAACAATGGCTCACTTTTTCCCAGTCTTAGGAATATGTAACACTTCATATTTAGTGGATTTAAAAGCAATACTCCTGTAAAGTATATAAACTGAAAAGTTTTGATTGGTGCAGAGTTTGTAGAATAATGTCACTGGATATGAACCGTCAAAATAATGTATTTCTGACACAGCTTTTAGCAATCATTTTATGATTTGGTTGCTAAATAGGAAAATGTACAGTTGCAATTCTGCAATAGAAAGTGATATATCATTTTCCTTCTTGGCCCTTAAATGCATGTGGAGTAACCTCTGTCATTCTGTTCTTCACATTCTTTAGAGATGCTTGTTCTTATAACCCTTGTGTTCTCTTATAGGCTTAGACCTCCAGCATATTCAAAAGTGTCATATGTATCACAGCAATATTTTAAAACATTTTTAGACTTTAAAGAAAGTCATACTTTATTTCTAAAATCTTCAATTCTGCAACATTATGGAATTATGTACAAATTAATTCAAAGCCATCACCACCAAATAATCCTCCCATCTCTTTAATTCTTTCTGCACTGTTTTCTGCAGATATAATGGCTCCCTGCCAAATGGAGATAGAGGAAGAAGAAAAAGCAGATTTGCTTTATTTAAAAGACCTAAAGCAAATGGGGTGAAACCTAGTACAGTGCATATTGCCTGTACACCTCAGGCAGCAAAGGTAAGCTTGATTGATGAGCTATCATCAGCAGTAACAGACCTTATATCTTGATAAACCATTGTAAATTAAAAGCAGCTTCTATCAATGAAGTTATGTGTGTATATTTTTTTAAGATGGCATCAGGCAGGGATTATGTTGAAGCTGATAGTGGGTGATTGTTTGGGGGGAAGATGTTGTGGTCAGGTGGTGAAGGATAGGAGGATATATAATTGGTGAGTGCACTGAGTTAATTTATAGTTAACAGAAATTAATGTTAGGCTAATGTTAGGACTGGATGTTGGTAGCATGGAGAATGAAGACAATAATAAAAAGAATCATAGTACTTGTCCTTAGTGTTTGCTATTCTGAAGATAGATTGGGTCCTATGGAAGTTCAGCTCTCGACTAGGCCAGCTCTAGCATGCTGTACCAATGTTGGAGAAGTTGATCCTAGAATGAATATGGGAATTACAGCACTTAGTGAAGCTGCAGCTGCAAGGCTCTCCTGCAATAAAACAGCAGCTACTGTGGCTATCAATAGCCCCAGGGCTGGAGGTTGGAAATAGCTCAAGATGAAGAACTGGGAAGAGCTTAACCTTTGGATGAGGTTCTCCATCAGGACAGCAACACAGACTGTTCTGCTACTGGTGGGAGAAGAAGAGTGAGAGTACCACCTAGGTGGAGGAGGACTGAGATCCAGAAGAGTGGGTGTGGCAGTGGCAAGCATCTGCCTGGGTCTGATGGAAGTTCAGCTGGGTGGGCAGGGGAGGGCTGCAATCAGGGTGCCCTTTGTCCAGTTTCAACTGCTGCACCAGCTATGGCCCTACCTTGAATGGGAGGGTCTTACAACAGTAACTTAATGCCTCTATCACAATTTGACCAGACTACTGCAGTGGGGCTGCCTTTGAAGACCACTTTGAAACGGCCACTAATACAGAATTCAGCAGCCCATGTGTTAATGGGTATTCACTGTATCAGTGGGCACCCTAGGTACTCGGAGGACTGTTTTCTCTAGCAAGAATCAACTTGTCTGATTCTTTTCCCAGGAAGAAACTACTATTCCTTTGTGAGACCCAGACACACTGTTTTTCAGTGATGGCACCTACTTTGTGTAACAGCTTCCCTCTGGAAGTAAAATTAACCCCCTCTCTGGTGGCCTTCTGGGAGTTGATTAAAACAAAGCTCTTCCAGAAAACATTTGGGAATTAACTGTAATGATGTTTTACTGCTTTTACTTCGTAGCTCCAATTTTATTGCATTATTTCATTTCTTTACTGTGGATATGTTAATATTGTATACTTTTATGTTTCTTATTGTTGATAGCTGCTGGATGTCCTTGGAAATGACAGTGGTATAAAAATGTACTAAGTAAAGCATTGGCAGAACAGGACCAGTTACACTGCATGCCTCATTTGCCTTTTGGACATTGGCCTTTTTAATTCTCCATTATTAGCACTTGTATCCTGCCCCTTCTCAGAGCACATATACATTACCCTAGGAACTGCCAAAACTCACCATTCTGGGACCCAGATATTATGGGGAACGCCACAGTTTGTTTGTCTTCTGAAATACACTGACCTGGCTCTTTCAAGAGTTGTCTAGTAATCTCCTGGAAGTCTTTCAGAACAGGAAATGGTTCATGGTGTCCCAGCAATTGTCTGGATTGGTGAGTTTTGTATGTAACTAGGATATACATAATGGTAACAACTATGTATGTTAGGTTGGCTGAGAGACCTGGCAAGTCAAAGATCACCAGGAAAATTTCTGGGCTAAATAGGTATTTGAATTTATATATTCATAGCCAAAATCCAAGACTAGAATCCAGCCTTCCACAAATTGGCAGTCTCTAGATGTTTTGGGACTATGAATCTCAGATTTCACTGGAGATTTTATGAGTGGTAGCTCTTGACACATATGGAGGCTGCCGCATTAGAACTACATGTTACTACTATCCATGTGGGGCTTAAAATTATTTTACTTCACAAGAATGAAAACTTTCTTAAATAGCATTGATGATAATTTTATCAATATCCACACACCCTGCAGAGAGAGAGAGATTCACATAGGCAAATACAGTGCATTGGAGAAAAGGTACAATTAAGTGCCAGTCATCTGTCTTCCACCAGTTGAGATCCTAAATCACTCTGGCCTCTTTGAAAAAACATGTTTTTAGAGCTTTTCTAAAAGGTGGCCAAGTCAGGGCCAGATGAACTACCAGGGGGTGGTATTCCAGAGGGCAGGGACAACAACAGAGAAAGTTCAGCTCCGTGTTCCCATGAGATAGTGCTCTTTTAATTGGTGGGAAGCGGACCCATGCTTACCCTGCCTAATCTTATAGGACAGGCAGAGATAATTGTAGAAAAGCAGTTTACTCTTAGGAAAGCTGCAGAGACCAGAGTTAGGCAATCTAGTGTCTCGCAGTTACCTTAAACAGTTATCTCAGTCCTTTCTGGATGTTGGGGTTGATAGGCAGATTGTGATCCAACTTCTGGAATGCTAGTTAGCAAATATGTCCATTTTTAACCATTCACCAAGTACAGATTGCATTCGAATTTCACTGTAACCTCTGGTTTATCACGATTAGATTGTGCCTAATCCTGCCCATCTCTTTGCTTCCTTTTCTTCATGAGGAGCAGTTTGGCTTTAGTTGATTACAGTTTGTCATACTGCTCAACCTCAGAAGCAGTGGTTAAACAGTTTAAGCCATAGTTTATGAAGATGGCTTCTTGCAGTAAACCATACTTTAAGCAGTTTAGGTTTTCCATGCCGTTTAAATATCACATTAGGGATGCCAGACTGTAGATGGATAGGGAAGGGAGAATTGTGTAAGTCTTGGAAGGCTAGTGTTGGTAATAAATATGATCATGTCCAATTCCAATATACTGTTACAGAGGAGAAGGCAAATCAGAATAGTTCAGTAATTAGGATTATTTCATATGTAGATAAGAGGAAATACCCCTGTCATTATTATAAAGAGAACTTCATATACATTAGTACAGTATGTAAAAATCATATTGTTTGTACTCAGAAGTAATTTTTGCATATAAGAAGGCTCATTTTTATTAGCTTTGGTTGCTGAAATCAGTGTTGAAGATTATTATTTCGAGCAGGTGATGTTTAAAATAAATAAAGATTTGCTTCATATCTCCCAGATAATTTTATTCCTTTATTTTGTTTTATTTGTTTACCTAAGTTTTGGCCTGCCCATCGTCCTAAGATTTCAGGCAACATAAGAGGCATGCATGCTAATATGTAGTACATTATAATGGAGCTCAAACGATATCCCAGTGAAAACAGATTGAAAGCATATATGCAACTGAATGAACTAAATGCATCTTCCACAACTTGGCCCTTCCAGATGGGTTGTGTTTCAATTTCCATAATTTGGAGAGTGCCAGTCTGGAAAAGGCTGAACTAAACAAAACAGCACAATACCTTACAGTACCAGGGCATAAGTAATTTTTACCCTGGTATTAATACAATAGTATTAGCCATGTTAGTGAGTGTTAGCCCATTCTAGGTGGGGGCTACTCCTCAAAGAAAGCTCAGTGCTATTTGTTAAAGGACAAGCTTCTACTGGCAAAAGACCCTATCTTCTTCCGGCATCTTTCAGATCATAAGCTTGGGCTCATGGTGGCATCTGACTAGTGGTAGGTGAATCAAGACATCTCCCTTACACTCACAGCCCAAGTCATACAGCTGAGGCTGTCAGATAGCTAAATCTGCTGCAGTAGCTCTTTCCCTGCTTTGAGTAAATTTCCATTGTCTTTGTTTTGTAATAGCACCCTTTTTGTTTAAGTAATCTATTAATCACCACAGGATATCAGCTTGCATAAAAAAAGCTGTTTAACCTAAAAACCTCCTCTTTACCCTAATGTACTGAGAGGCAGGGATGGAGGCGATGTTGACCCATCATGTTCTATGTCTCATCTTTTTGTGTCTCATTTTTTGTGACACTTGAAAGCCTTGAGCATCTTAATCATTCAATGTGTCTAGGCCAACAAACGGCTAACAGTAGCCATGACTAATAGGCTTATCTCATAGCAACATGTGTTCTGTTGTGAAACACTAAGTGGGACCAGTTGGGTTTGTTTTCTTGGATACATCAGTCATGCATTTAAAGTTTCTGTGCAGTTCATTGTTGTAAAGCGACACACGCGCACATCATTAGCACTAGTAAGCTCAGAGTTTCAACAAGCTCAACAGGAGGCCAGTAATGTTAATTTCAAATGCAAGCTTTGCATATGATTCTGGTCTGGGAAATAACGAAGGATCTCTGTAGCATCTTCTGAAAGAGCTGGGACTCAAAGCACAAGAGTAAAAGTAACTTGTATGCAACATGCTTGTGATTGGCTTTCCTTTGTTTATATCACAGAGCCACGTTTGAAGAGGGTAATGCCTTAGCATTTCTTCCATAGTTACATAAAACATTCATTTTCATTTATTTCATGATCCTGCTAAAGGGTCCCTCAGGGCTTACTTTCCCTTTTTTCCAAAAGTATACGTACTACCTTGCATGCTTCTAGAAGACCTGCTTCCCCAGGCAATTTGGAATCTGAGTCCTGATGCTCTTCATCAGCTTTCCTCAATTTGGCGCCTTCCAGATAACAGCATAAGCTAGCATATGTGGGTTGTTTGGGCCATATAAGGAATCTGGTAGATAAGAATTGCACCCATACTGAGTTTGCACATACATTAAGCTACATTGTAGACTCATCTGTGATTTGCAAAACATGAGTCTTTCTTGGACAGCTTTGCACATTACACTAAGTGTAAAAACAAGTGCCCATCGCATTAAGGTTTGGTGTGGGGTATGAACCAGGGTGGGCTTCTTGGAACACCATAGTGATTCAGAATCAGCATAATGAAGGGTGATGATGCAGAAGTCTGAGCTCAGTTTGCTTTGGGCTGTTAGTTCTGTGAACTTCAGAATAGCCAAGATATGCTTGACATGCCAGAAGTGGGTGGGAATCAAAAACTAGTAGCATTTTTGGATAGGTAGCAAACCTGTCTATTTGAAATCTATATCCCATGACTGGCCTGCTTTAAAAGTATACAGGCAACCTAAAATAAAGAAGTATTCCCTTCCCAGCTATTGTATGAGCCTTTGCGTTTATATGTTGCTTCCTTCTGCATACAAAGTTATAAGTAGAAGGCATCTAATCAAATGGCATCAAATCAGTGTAATCATGCATTAAATTTAATTTATTTATTTATTTATTAAATTTATATGCTACACATCTCCCCCAGAGGGTGACTCTGGGAGGCTCACAGTTAAAATCCAAATGTTAAAAACAGTAAAAATGTAAATATTCATATTCAATTAGTTAAAATTATTCTATATAAAGAGACCACGTACAATTCAAGATGACAGGGCAGAATTGATTATTCCACCAGCCAGTTCCAACAATGCAAGCCCCCATCAGGCCCCCAGGCCATCTGGCATAGCCAAGATTTCACAC